CATCTGACCTGAATATCTGAACTAAATCTCCGATTGGATCTAGTATTTCATCATGCACTATCAGGATTGAGTTCAGGCAGTGAAGATCAGAACCTGACTAGTAATTATCAGGTTAATATGATATATTTCAACTGATCAGGATTGGATCAGACATGATTGAGTGATACCGCAGCGATGTATTCGGATAGATCCAGAAGTAACTGGATCCTTATCCAGGAATTCCGATCGAGTCCTGACCAGGATCGAGTTTAAACCTGATCTAAATCTATACAATCTGGGGAAATTTCCATTCGGAAAATATTAACTCACACCATTCGAATGGGATAGTTATCGAATCGGAAAATTAACGAAGATGAGGAAGAAGTTAGAGGAGATTCTCCAGGATAACTGCGTAATGCTGGAAAAAAAAATGTGGTGACACTCTTGGGGATGAGGGGGAGAGGACAGAGGGTGGTAGAGGAGGAGAAGTAATGGAGGAGGAGGAAGAGGATGAGAAAGAGCCAAAGTATCTGGTACATGCCAACGACATTCCCGAGTCCCGCCGCAGTTTTTCACAGCGAAGGTAGAACCTTGATTAACCCTCAGTACTCCTGATAAATGATAAATAATCGATAATCAAAGATTGATAAGGCTTTTGTTTTTCACCTGAAGAAGCGTGTGAACTTTGCTTTCTCATTCGTACGAGTTCACACACTAGTTCTTATTGTGATGAATAGTACCAGCAATATTTATCCTGGATGAAAACTATCCACACGTGTCCAGGGTAAAAATAACCAGCTGTAGAGAAAAAAGTGATTTGAATAGTCATGAAAAATTCACAAAGGTAAATAGGCTGATTATCAATCAATCGTCATGATTATTTATCAAATCTCTTTCTCCATATTCTACCTGAAGAGAAGTGAGAAGGAATGTGGAATCAGAAAATAAAGAGACGGCGGGTAGTAGTCAAGTACTACCATCGAACAGAAGAAACGGAGATTTATTTGCTCGAATTTCATTGAGCCAAAGAGCGCGCGCGCATCACACACACATCGACACATATGAGCGGACACACACACACACGGGGTCTCTAACCGCAAATGCAATTCCCCGGAATGCATTTTGTATTCGATTCCTCTTCTTCCGATTCTTTTTCGAATATATATACCACAAGGCGCTTGGTGGGCACGAGCGGAAAGGGTACGAAAGAGGACGACGGGTATCGATCGAGAAGACGAGAAGAAATGCATTGCATACACTACGGTGTTATTGTTTTCGTGGCTCTCCCCCGAAAACCCGTTGGCTTTTTGTCAAGGTGAAGCTGCCACGGACGAGCGCCGGTTACACAGAGAAACACCGCGGATGAGATCGCGGGTAACTTTGGCGCGACTACGGGGAGCCGAAGAGGTTTCCCTCACCACAAATGTCGACGACCTGAAAACGTCGCGGCAGACTCCAACTACTCCGATGATCCCTGGGGGATTCAGGGGAAGAAATAAGGGAGGAGTGAGGATTTCATTAGATCATCATGACATTTCGTTTTTAATCGGTTAAACGTCAAGATAAAATTAACTCCATCACTCGACTCTCCTCAATTTTACGCGACAAACTTACCTCAAGACAAGTAAATAGTCAACATTTATACGTCGGGATCTGCACACAGTGAATGATAACAATGTTCGGTAACTATTAGTGTGTACTGATAAAAGATTTAGGTTAGATGAACATGATATATTCGGTTGAACCCTTTTTTCGAAATTCGTTCATCGGAATCGGGTATTCAGTCATAAATGTAATAATTAATAGTTTGTTCAACTGTTATTCAACTGGTGCTATTTAACTATGTCATTAGGTAATAGTTACCAAGCCTGTGTGACTGTAACCTAATCTTTAGACATCGCAATGGTTACTATGGGGCAAGGTAAACATTCTCGATGATAACAGACACTATGACCTAGTACATGGTAATGTTTACCATGTTAATATAGTTATGGTACATCGACGTGATAGTGACCACATTACTATGATATCTTGTCAAACGAAGGATTGCTGTGTCGATTCAGTAATCATTATTATGCTGATACATGTGACCATTACTATGTGACATGGTAAAAACAAAGAACAACTATTACTATTACTGACGAAACATGCTAATCATTACCATAGAACCTAAGAAGCATTATCTTGTGACGCGCAGTAAATATTACCATGTAATAGTATTTACTCAGTGACGTAAAGGGAATAACTATCTTGAGTCCATTGGAAACTCTGTTACTATGTTACTATGTGTACTGAATAGACAAGTACGAAGTGGTAGATGAAAGAGCCGAAAATTGCACTGTCTGTCATTGAGTTGAATAACAAATGTCTGCTGGTCCTTTCAACAATCAATAATAATATAAAATAACTGGAAAACCCCCTGACTGTATTCCGTCTACTCACTGGTATTTTGAAAGCAGTGCATTTGACACTGACGAGTGTAGCATTCGCGTCAAGTTCTCTCAGTAATGATGATTCACTACGATTGATTTACAACCATCGTGTAAACGTTGATACTGATTGACCGTTTGTTCACGTTCTGCAGTACACGGTTTCACCTAACCCATCAGCAAGAGACGCTAATAATCCATTGGGTCAAGGTAAAATCTCACGACTCGATGGACAACCCGATGAGATCCCTTTGGATGTCATCATGATAGCCGATGGAGGTGATAAAACCCGGAACCGTCTCACAGATACTCCCAACCGATTCACGACTCGTTTACGCGAAAATTGCGGGACATGCGTTACCGATTGGTGATATTTAACAATAAATATGGGACGATGTGAAATGAGAAGTGAGACTCATCATTCTGCTTTATAAAGTTGAATAAAGTTGATATGACAAAATTGAAGATACTTCTCTCTCTGGGCCTCACCTCCCTTTAGGGCCCGCCGTATCTCACTGTGTTTGAGCAATCCAATGCCAACTCGTGTTTTCTTACCGTAATATATAAGTATGGAGACAGGTTTTGTGTACCTATATACACTTCTGCAGTTCGTGGGGTCCGAAAGTCTCGTGAGAGACAAACCCCGCAGGTCTCTTTTCCCCTCATCGTTCTCTTTCTGTGGAGGACGCGAAGAGGGCCCTCCTAACCATTGCATCGATTTCTCGATCTTGAAGGCAAGGCACGCGTCTCGCCCGCCCGTAGAATGTCGTCGTAACGAGGTCTCCTCTCCCCCTCAGCCCCTCAGCC